CTGTACTATGTGGACTGGTTGCCGATGTGTTACTGGTCATCTTTCTCTTTGCCTTCTCTCGCAATAACAGCATCCTAACGCCTGTACTGTATCTATGGACTACTAATAGTGAGTCTTCTATTTCGCAGGGGCTGCCCTCATCGCAAGGTGTGCGTATAGTGCTCACAGAGCTGTTGTTGACCAGATTGAAAGTCTCGGCCTACTGCCGACTGTGGGTCAGAGAATGGTTCATACTGAGCAAGGGTACGTACACGTACAACCCGATCAGGGTGCACGCAGTGCAGACATTGATAGACAGTCGTGGGTGAAGATAGACAGGGATGTCTCGGTAGCGGAAACTTCGAGTAAGATACCGTTGAGGGAAGCAGACAGAGGTACACAAAGCCCACTAGTTGGAGATAGGGCTTCAGAGGGGAATACAGAAGTGCTGAGCGGAACTGGTGCGTTTCAAGAAGAGTCGTATATCGACCCGGACATTGAGGACTACATACGGTTGCACGAGGAAGCGTGTGCCCATAACAAACGCAGCTACATCGACCCACTTACAGGCTACCACGTGTTCACACGTGTGGCACACGAGGCCAGAGGTAAGTGCTGCGGTGGCGGGTGTCGGCACTGTCCCTTTGCTCACACCAACGTGAAGGACATGAAGAAGAAGATGAAGGTGATGATGCAGCCCGCCTACTTGCACGAGCGAGTGGAGACGGTCGCAAGGGAGGGTAGGCCGAAGGAGGATACCACACGCACTGCTCCTGAGGATTTTGGTAACCTGGTTCTGTTCTGGTCGGGGGGCAAGGATTCGTATCTGACGCTGAGAGAGATTGTGCGGACGCAGGGGAGTGGTGTGCTGGACCGGTTGACACTACTGACGACGTTTGGGGCGCACACACGCACGGTGGCACACCAGGAGATAGGCATAGAAGTGATACACAAACAGGCCGAGTTCCTCGATATATCGCTGGTGGGTGTCCCTTTGACCGGGGGCGGGGCCGTACCGTACCTCGAGCAACTGGAGAAAGGACTGGCCCTCATTGAGGCCAGACTGGCTGAAACAGGGCGGGTGATTGATACACTGGCGTTCGGAGACCTGCATTTACAACACATCAAGCAGTGGAGAGATAGTTCCCTGGGCGCCAGGGGGGTACGTCTAGCCTATCCGCTCTTCTGTGCGGAGGCTGGTTCCAACTATAAGCAACTGGCCGAGGATCTGGAGCGCAGCACCACGCCTTGTGTAGTGAGTGCATGCGAAGGCGACTTTAAAGGCGGCTCCTTCCCGATTAATGTCGGGGATGTGTATGGCGAATCGGTGCGGGAGACGTCACGGGCGCTGGGTTGGGATGAGTTTGCGGAAAACGGCGAGTTTCACACTCTGGCGAAGGTGTGGGAAGCGCAGAGTCAGGCGCATGCGCTGGGCTTGTGCTGAGCTAGTTGTTACCAGATAACAAAGAGAGTGATTTTAGAGAGGTTTGGTAGTTGTATACTCAACGGTATATGTGTGATGATTCCATTGCGATCACTTTGAATGGTTTTAGTTGTTTCTTTTCCGAATTGGCCCTTGAAAGTATACCCTTAAAAGTCATATTTGCCGCACATGAAATTCACAGCATCCAAGAGCGGTACCTAGAACGAGGAACGCTATATAGCACGACACATGCCACCTGTACCATATAACTCGATACTGAGTATCTCATTGTCGACTCAAATATGTGTCTTGTATTACTGTCCGGACGACAATCTCGGGCTGGGTGAGCATGTATGTATTCAGAAGCGTGTGGTTGAGTGCTGTGTAGGTATTGCAAACTGACAGAACTTCTCCTCTCCCCCCAACGAATCCCTTATTTTAATAACATACTTGACAGTGACAAATACCAACAGATGTCTGTTAATAAAGGGATGAACTTCAACTCGACGACCTCTATTTGTATTTATATGTAGCTTCCCCTTACATATATTTCCAAAATTCGAATAAATGCAGTTGCGATATTGTACCGAAACACATACTTGAACGTTCTTTTTCATCTGTAGCTCTTCGGTTCAACATCATTCCAAATACACCAAGTAGGTTGTTGCACACATGCTAAAGATCTAAACAATTACAACGAGAGGCATACCACGTGTGTACACAATGCGGGTGCGTACGGAGAAAGAAATGATATGCTGCCGTGTCCATTATTTTAACTATGTATTGGACAGTGACAAATAGCAACGGGCGTATGTCAATACAGACGTCAACTTCAACTCGACGACCTCTATTTGTATATATATGTAGTACCTCCTTGCATCTACTTTCAACATTTCAATAAATGCAGTTGCGATATTGTATTGAAACACATACTTGAGCGTTACCTTTCATAAGCTATTCGGTTCAACATCATTCCAAATGCACCAAGCAACTTGTTGCACACATACTAAAGATCTAAGCAATTACAACGAGAGGCATACCGCGTGTGCACACAATGCGGGTGCGTATGGAGAAAGAGAAAGAAATGATATTGTTATGTCAAGCGAAGGACAGTGTATTTCAAGCGAATGACAGTGTTATTTCAAGCGAAGGACTGTGATATTTAAAGCGAAGGACAGTGCTATTTCAAGCGAAGGACAGTGTTATTTCAAGCGAAGGATACTGCTCTTTCAAGCGAAGGACAGTGTTATTTCAAGCGAAGGGTACTGGTTTTTCAAGCGAAGGACAGTGTTATTTCAAGCGAAGAAAGGTGTTATTAGGATAGTGTTAATTCAAGCGAAGAAAGGTGTTACTAGGATAGTGTTAATTCAAGCGATGAAAGGTGTTATTAGGATAGTGTATATATGTAGTGCGGTTTCAGAATACTTTATTTGAACTTAATGTACATTTAATTGAAGCCATTGAGACTGCGGGTAAGTCACCCTAGAGAGCTGCAATGGTACTCCCGATACAATAACAGTACATAGGTCTATATGTTCGATGCATAATGATCGCAATTGAAATGAATAGCTGGTTAGCAATTGCCAAACCAAAAAGTCGACGAGATTTCTGATCGCCTAATTTCTGGGACACACACAGTGCACCCGTTGTCAATCCTCCCAGGTCCTGATTTCTAATTCCCATTACTAAATCCGGCACAAAAATGTGTCACAAAGGCTCTAAATTTGGCATATTCCCATTCAATATTAGAATATGGTACGTATAAAACGTGTTGGTTGTAGATACAGAGTCTACTGGGATCTGAGTGACCACGCGAGAGTCTGACCCGCTTTGAAAGGAACGACCTCTCCGGCCTCTCCATAAGCGTACGACTGTGGTACAGTGGCGGACTCTCTGAAGGATAAATGACAGCGGTTCACGTTTCAGTAAGTACGTCTCGAAAGAGAAGTTAGATGATATGCATAGGGCATCGGGATATAATATCTAATGATTGCCTATAATGTCAATGACGTGAATAGGGCATTGAGATATAAATTGTACAAATTGCCAATAATATCAATGACATGAATATGGCATCAAAATATAAATGCAAATGATTGTCAATAATATCAATGACATAAAAAGGGCATTGAGATAAAATTCGAATAATTGTCAATAATATAAAGCCATATATAGGGCATTGATGATTCTATTATTTGCCAACAATATCAAATTTAGGGCATTGATATATAAATTCCAGTAATTGCCAATAATATCAAAGTCAGTGCCTGTGTATCTGATTTGGAGTACGGCTGTGGTAAACCGTCGGAGATTTGATCGGCAGTCAAGTATGTCACTGCACATTCAACTTCGATAGAGGCATATGACTTGTGACTGTGATCGACAAAAAGTACAAGTCCGCTGTGGGAAATAGATAAACTCTAACCGTAGACATCCATTCTTGGTATGAGTACTTCCGAAGCCATACAGGGCAGGCCGTAACCACACGGCTCATAAGTTTACATGAAAACCATGACAATACAAGTCACGATTAGAAGTCATTGGTTCCTGATCCACACCTAAGAATGCACATAGAGACTTGGCTCTGCTAACACACGCTGGGCAAATAAACAGTGCGGTTTCTATGCCGATGTATTGTAGGCGTTCGTGTGTGGATGTGTTTGTTTGCTTGTATATTTATGAATCTTTTATATTTATGTATATATATATAAATATACATATGTATATATATATATATATATATTATGTATATATATACATATGTATATATAAATAAATAAATCATTTATAACATAATATATATATATATATATGTATATATATATATACACACACACACACACACATATATATATATATAATATATATACATTACGTTTATATATATATACCATCACACTTCAGCATTAGTTTACTTGCGAACACAAACAGATGCACATACTTCACCAGGGTGATATTTTGTTTCAGGTCAGGCAAGTCGTAGAAAGCGCGACCTGTAGGCAACAATTAGTAAAAAAAAGTAAGTAGCGAATGATTACAAAATTCGACTTGAGTTATAAATGATGTGGCCTGTGCCACTCATCGATGGGATTACATACATCATCTGTATATATCCAATACGGCACTGAATACGGTACACGCTAATTGAAATCCACAACCATAACTGAAGCATACCATTTGCGCTTGTAAATCCGACTATCTGTTCGCTGGTGCACCCCATCTCAAGGAGCGTGGTCACTACGTAGGGCATTAGCAGCGGTGTTGTGAACACTCCTGCAGAGCCACAGCACGACTCCTTCTTCGTGCGATCGTGGGGGGCCGAATCAGATCCCAGGAAGAACTTGGGGTTCCCTGCGGTTCGAGGAAAAGGAGAAATGTCGTACGTGTCAGATTGTCAGATTGTCGGGTTTTGGAACAGGTTGTCTGATATTTTGAATACATACAAGTACAACCATTGGGTTTGGCGTGTTGCATGATTTGTGGATCATGGGCTGTTACACAAGCACAGACATGCGAATCGATATCCAATCCCCCGCGCAAAATGTCCTATGTGAAGAGACCTCCAAGGGGAATTACAAGTATATACATGCTATGCAATACACCAGGAAAGCCTAAACTCTGCACCCTAAACCCTAAACACATCTGCATAGCGCCTAGTACATGGCCAACATAGTCATAAACGCCCTCAACCACGACCGTAGGACCGCATGCACTCCCCAGATAACTGCAGGCTTCCCCCCACCCCCAAACATAAGCACACCCAAAAACCACACAGATAACTCCACTCCGCACACACCTTCCTTCACAACGGCTCTTAGGGCCGCTCTATCGGATGGGTACTTAGCAACGGGTTTGCAGAAGTTGTGAGGCTGACCAGCCCAATCGTCCACAGTCAGTTCCAGATGGTGTGCGGTGATGGTCGCCGCAACTGTGGGACCGAGTTTCTTGACCTAATATAGTATAGGAACGAACGGAAGCAAGTAAGAAAGGAAAGAAGGTCGACGCCGGATTAGGATCTGTGTATGAATACTACGCTTGGGTCCCGATACTGCATACGGGCTCTGATAGAATTTACACGCGCTTGGTAGACGTATGTGTTGCGTCTGAGTCAGGACACTTACATGATTGCTAATCTAGGTGGCGTGCGGTGATGTAGCTGCAAGGTTTCTTGACGTGTTTTCCTATGTGGAAGTAAGGGAGGGAGATACTGCCTACGGATTCGTGTACAATTACTAAGCACGGATACGGATACTGTAGTATCTGGGTACGTTCGACAGATGTATATATTAACAACATACGCCACTCAGAGAGAATAAATAACATGTCATACTCTACAATGCCATCACAGCACACAACAGCCCCTCCAACACCCAACACTCACCAGCGCCACAGCCTCCTTCGTGGTCGAGTGCTCCAGGATGATCCGTAACTTCGGGAAAGCTGCGTGTAGCTTCTCTAGGTGTGACAAAAACGATCGTTCCGCGTTCATCACACACACGTCGTTGTCTGGGTTACTGGGGATTTCTCCGTGCAGGTGCAGGATCAGACCGGCGGTCTCCATGGCTTCGAATATGGGGTAGTAGACGTCGTAGCTTTCAATGCCTGCTTCACTGTTGGTGGTCACGCCGCGAGGATAGCTCTTAACGCCTGTAGGAGAGGATGCAGGATACACCAAATGGACGGGGAGTGTGTGTACGTTAAGATTATAAGACTGAGAAGTACCCACATGGCTATTTACGCCTGTAGGAGAGGATGCAGGATACACCATATGGACGGAGAGTGTGTATACGTTAAGATTATAAGACTGAGAAGTACCCACATGTCTCTTTACGCCTGTAAGAGAGGATGCAGGATACACCATATGGACGGGGAGTGTGTGTACGTTAAGATTATAAGACTGACAAGTACCCACATGGCTCTTTACACCTGTAGGAGAGGATGCTGGATACATCATATGGAAGGGGAATGTGTGTACGTTAAGATTATAAGACTGACAAGTACCCACATGGCTCTTTACGCCTGTAGGAGAGGATGCAGGATACAATATATGTACGGGGAATGTGTGTACGTTAAGATTATAAGACTGAGAAGTACCCACATGGCTCTGAACGCATATAGGAGAGGACGCTGAATACATCATATGTACGGGGAGTGGGTGATCGAGTATTATGGAGGTAAGAACACCCACACAGTGTGTATGTCCACAATAGTAACCTATTCATAGGTACATGTATATGTGTGCGGTTCGGTGAGTGGGTGTGAAGAGCTCTACAGGGTGTGTATGGCCAATGGAAGATCCTATACGACACAACCGATGCGTGATGCATGAGGCTGTAGAATAGCCATATATACAAGCACACATTCTCATATCATGTAACAAATATCTCGTAAAACGGGATGCAAGAGCCAAAAGATTCCTTAACTTTTAGGTCGCATAGCATTTCGATGACTGTAGATATACTATAGCAATGTAGATATACTATAGCACTGTGACCAAAATAATCTTTAGGCAATCCGATACATACTTTGCCAACAAATTTTGTAGCATTGAGTTCGCAGAGCCTTCGGATGACTGGACATACAACACAGTGATGCATATAATCACTACCTAGCCGATACATACTTCTTGAGATGAGGCGTGAGGGATAGATTGCAGATGGCAACTCGGAATAAACAGAGTTTTAGGGTTTTTAGGGATTTATATATCCGTGGTACGTCAACGCCAATTGGATGATAAAATACATCAGAAATTGTACCAAACTCGATTTCTCGATGGCAGATTTAGCAGTGTTCTACGCTACCAATCCAGTAAAACTCAATCACCTACGTGGTTGCCTCATCACACACTATGAACTCGTAGTCGTTTGAATGGGACTTATTCGGGACCTAATGTCGAGTGGTCTAGTAGGATATACAAGTCACACCCGGGGAGAACATATGCAATATCAATAAATAATACTCAGACATGCCCAACTTGTACATGCCATAGCCAACATGTTTGAAACACACACACACCAGTGACCACAAACTAATAAAAACAGAACATCCGATGCACCTATGAACATGCCAGAATGTACAACAGGGCACACAGTAACCGAAAGAGCTGACTTTAGACCAGTCCGAATTGGACCAGGTCACGCCACAGGTGACCATTCTGAGCGTGTGCGCTTTATGTGTTATTTCTGAGGCACACCGACATTGGGCTGCCGCCAGTGAAACACAGTATGAGAGAACGCAGGCCAGTCGGCTATACTGGCGACGCTAAACCCTAGAGCCCTATCACATATCGTATATATATATATATATATGCCTCCACATGCACAAGCACTTGGCATTTGCCGTTAAAACGTCATGTGAGAGAACAGACACCCCATACCGGTAACCCCAACAGCCTTGGCACCCGCAATGATCTCTGGGGTGAGGGATGGATGCAGGTACAAGGTCATGAGATATTCGACAGACGAGTCCAGGCCTTCGAGCTCGGACTTGTACGCTACCACTTGCTCAAGCGTAGTAATTGGGGGCGTTAAGTTTGGCTGTGGGGTTCAAAAAATGGGTCAGATGTGTAGGTATGGTCCAATATAAAGGGGTTTGGACAAGCTGCGGCCAAGGATTAGTGGGCTATGGTCGTCAGGTAAGTACGAGTCACTGTGAAAAGCAAGTTAGACACGCTGCTTATGAATATCAACATAAAAGGTCCGGTCCTGGTGTTTGCCGGTGCAGTACCTGTCAAGACCATTACGTTCCCTGCGACGGCAAGTGGTTGCGCTGAGGGGTGCGTGCAAAGACTGGTACTGGGCGATGATGGCTCATGCCTTAACACGTTGAATATATAACATGCAGCACGTTGGGCGGCAATTGAACGTTAGCTCTCGGCCAGGAAGAGTACTAGGGCCGGACATGTGTGTATACGTGTTCTCCTATGGGGTTTCCATGGTAAATACGGTATGAGTGCGTCTATAGTAGGCTATGTATAAAGAATAGCTCTATGGCTAGACATGTATGTACATGTGGTCTCCTGGGGCAGTGTACTGGTAACTATAGTATGGGGGTGTCTATAGTATGGGGGTGTCTATAGTAGGCTATGTTTAACGAGCTACAAACCCAATTGGGATTATGCGCTGAGAAGAGAAGTGCACCAGTTAGGAAAATTAGACGGCAATTGGGCGTCATTTTTCAGTCAGAAATAGTTATATGGCAATAGTCATGTGTACATATTCTAGTGTAGATTATCTCTGGTAACTACGGTGGGGTAATGCCTATAGTAGGTTGGGTATGGCTGAGTATTTCCTCGAAGCCAAGGTGTGATAAGAGCAGGCCCTTGCAGATTTGTCGACCAACCTTGTTATACCCAAATTCACATGTTTACTATAGGCGATACCTTACTTGCAACGTGCGCAGTGGACCTCCATGTGTATCTCAAAGAAAGTTCAATCATGCATTTGTCCATTTAATGCACTCAGTAGCTGTGCACCAACGTATGCTTATGTTACTTTCTAGATTGCCCGAGAAAACTACCGCAAAGCGTACAGTCTACGGCAGACGCGACAAACCCCCAAATTATAAAAAAGCGGCTAGGTATGCAAACGTTTATATCTAATATGTTCACACTCAGTCAGCAAAATCGGCCGAAAAAGACATCTATAATTATACTAAGACGAACCTTTGAAATGCGACAAAGCGCTACGATGACGCAATCAGCACCGCTCATAGGCATCTGAAGTAAGACGGGTGCTAATACGCATGGTAAACAGTGGAGAATTTTACCAGAATATAAGTGGACATACTAAACATGTAATTTAACCAAAGCTCTATACCACCTTTGCAAACACCATGTACATGAGACGTCTTGAGCAAGAGCATATCATGATATACCACAAGAACATATGATGATACAGTACAAGTACATACCATGATCAGAGCTCTGCAAATACCACCTTTGCGTACATGTGGCACGACCATGTTCATCAGGTCGCCATGGCGCAGGTGGGTGTGGTAGTCCTCCCCTGCAGGAATGATGATCTCGTCCACATTGGCAATAGACATGTCGAATTTTGTTGTTATCCTCGATAAACTAAGTTTGTGTGTTATAGTGTGTGTAGTTGCAGTTGTGTTGTATAGCAGATGTATAAGAATCACCCGAGTCGTCGGAATCTCTCTGGGCACGGGTGATATATATATACAGTATATCTACAATACACTCCTCATTTACTATAAACAAATGTAGCTATGGACATGTTTTACAGTAAATATCTGATCGAAGTGTCGACGGGTCATGTGAGCTAGGGTTCTACTCGAGAGTTCCTGTTCAATACGTTTTACATAGTATAGGTCAGACCTGTACCATTCCACATATATGTACGTTATAACGTTTTAGAAATTATAACGTGAAACGTTTACGTTCAACGTATAGTCTGAACTTAGTGAAGTTACGTGTCATTATAAAAGTTTTTTTTTACCAAAAAACAGCAAAAAGCAAGCTTTGTCACTTTATTTATCAGATCAATGTACAGATGTAATATGACGTATTTATATTTCAGAAGGCTATGAATCTGACATAACTATTTATCTTGTAGACATCCTTGAGAACGTGTTATATTAATTACTATTCACTACCACTTCATAGGATAGATCAACATTTGAAGGATATTACATATTCCATAGTGAACCATGCACAGGCCAGGCTGGTTTGCTTGTGGGTGTCTCTCTGGTATCGTGCTTCTACGCACATATTACTGGTATAGAAGGAAATGGGCTATACCAACAGAAGACGAGGGTATGATGTCTATGATACTAATGGGGTATTCAGATTTAAAGAAGGTTTCCTGGCGGAAAGGGGTATATTTATATATGGATACCAATGTATTGTTAGATATACTTTCGACAACGAAGATACACGAACACATATACACATTCATTAACACACACACACACACACAC